CTCACCGGTCCCAGCGCCGGGGACAGGGCGGCAGCCGGGACGGCCTTTTTGCAGAGCGCGTCGGCCTATGTATCAAAACCCCGCAGACACCGACGACGTAACCGAAAATAACAGAGCTGAGTACACGGAGTGTTCGCTGATGATAAGAACCAAGGGTGGGGACCGCCCAGTGGGTCTTGAGGGAAGTTTTGGAGAAAGCCCCAAGCAAGCAAGGGCGGAAGAAGCAGGGCCTTTGCTGGGTCTTCTCTGGGGAGCGGGCGTCACCCCGGCATGTAGAAGCCAACCCCTTGGGAAACCGAGGCCTGAGCGGGAAGGCACTTGGCCGAGCCTGGTGGCAGAACTAGAGCCATACCCCGCAGCCCTAGCCACACCATCCCTTCCCTCCTCAAGGACCCCTCGTCTACCTTTACCTTCCCAATTCCCACTACCCAGTGCTCCACGGGGCAGTGTTGCCTGAGACGTGCTTATGCCAGACCTGTTCCTGGTGCCCACGGTCCACTGATGAAAATAGAACATCCCAGACTGTGGAGCTAACATCCCAGAGTTGCCCTAGCACATATTCGAGGGAGTGTGCGCAGCAGTCCCTCAGCTAAAACATCTGCTTAGGACTTGGAGAAAGAAGGCCCCATGAGGATGACTCAGGACCATGTGCATCCTGACTCCTACGCAAGCGCTTCCCGAAGCTGAGCCACAGGAGCATCTGGAAAGATGAGTGATTCCTGTCTCGCCCCTTTGCCTGGCCAGCCCTTCCCCATGCTCCAAGTCTCAGCTTCCATATCACTTACCTGACCCAAGTCTATGTCAGGTTGTTGTTAAGGGCTCTCCCAGAGCCAGCCTGTCTTTGTCTCGCCCCTTTGCCTGGCCAGCCCTTCCCCATGCTCCAAGTCTCAGCTTCCATATCACTTCCCTGACCCAAGTCTATGTCAGGTTGTTGTTAAGGGCTCTCCCAGAGCCAGCCTGTCTTTCCCCACATGCCATCCCGCCTGTCACAAAATATTCATGTGTGGAACTGTTTGCCTGAGGTCGCTCCTCAGTGGGCTGGGAGCTCCCTGGCGCTGCAGCTGGACCTGTAGCACTACACACAATAGGTACACAAGGCAGTGTGGGGTGACTCCATCAACAAGACCTCTCTGCTTGGCCCCATGCACCCCATCTGAGTCCTGGCCAACTTCTTTGCAACCGTGGGAGGTATAACATCTGGGCCTCGCTGGAGCTGAGGCTGCAAGTTTCCTCATGCCTGGATACCAGGTGTTTCTGTGGGCAGTGTGTCTGCTGTTGCTTCCACTGGATTCCAGCAGATGGGCATCAAAAGTGAGGTCCCTGAGGCCACTGTCTTTCAGGAAGGTCACTCAGTGTTTATGCAGGCCCTGAGACATGTGCTTTTTCCAGAACCCCCAGCATGTGTACAGAGATGACTTGTTTATGTTTGCAGTTGAAGATCTGCACAGTTGGTCTGCCTGTCTACATCCACGTGTGGGTTGGCCAAGCAAGGCATGATGGTCAAGAGATTCTCTCTAGCTGAAAAGCCAGAGACAGAGGCAACTAGCATGCTAGAGTACCAGAAGGGAGAGAGTGGCAGAGCCAGGACCCAGAGGTCTGCAAAGGGTCTTCCGTGAGTATTCAGCAGAGTACTGTCAGTACATTTCTCCAAGGCTGGGGAAAGAACCACCCTAAACGATTATAGGAAACGGTATCTAGTGCTCACACAGGACTGGAAATAGGACCTATTCCCATCAACTAGGTTGGAAAAACTCAAAATTCACAAGGCACTGGGTAGAGTACTCAGAAAGGTCTTGCCTCAGTAATGGGAAATAATTATCCCTGCCCTAAATGCTGTCCTGGTCCCACCTAACATCGTAAAAACAAGACCTGAAAGGATCGAACTATTTCCAAGTAACTTAATGCATCCCAAGAAATAAAGCTTTAAAATATGCATAGGAATACAGTAATATTGAGTACCCACAAGGTACAATTCGCATTATCAGGCATCCACCAGGTATACAAAGAAGCAGGAAAAAAAGACCTGTGATGAGAAGAAAAAGCAATCAATGGAAATTGATCCAGAACTGACACAGATGTTAGAATTAGCAGGCGGGGCTGTTATAGCAATTTTTATATAACACATTCCATATGTTCACAAAGTTTAGTAAAAAGTGGAAGGTTTAAAAAGACCCTAATCAAACTAATAGATATAAGTTTCCTCAGCTGCTGCCAAGGTGCTCAGTCCTCTCAAGGAAGTTGAGGCCACGTTGGGGTTAGGACCTCAATTCATCCAGAGACTAACACCACGCCCAGCAGCCGCCATCCTGCGGCATTCCTCTGTGTGCGTGCCATTCCTCTGTCTCCAAGCTCATCTGCATCTACTCGGCCTTCATCCTGCAGGACAACGAGGTGACTGTCACAGAACATAAGATAGATGCCGTCATTAAAGCAGCCGGTTTAAATGTTGAATCTTTCTGGCCTGGCTTGTTTACAA